AGCTTTCTGCAAGTAAGGAATTCATTCCCTTATTCACTTAGTTAATTTAATAAATATTTGCTGGCTACCTTTTTGTGCCAAGTAATAGGTATAGTGCAATGACTATAGTTAACAATGTGCCCCATACAATATAGAGGGGGAGTATATATTACCAATTAAACAAAAGAATATATAACTGCACACTGTGAATAGTGCTGTGAAGGATGGATGCAGTGATAGAGAATAACCCTGGAGGGTTGGGGAAGAGAAGACTTAGAAGAACGATGGTCTCTGGGGTTGTGACAGTTAGGCTGAAACTTGACAAGAAAGAGATGTCAAACAAGGAGCACTGGGGATGGAATGAAGGAAAGGAAACAAGTAAAACAGATCCAGATGCCAATATAGGTAGTACTAAGTACATTTTAACTACTTTTATTACTTGTTGACTCATAGTTTTGATGTATTATTATCATTTGACTAACATTGTGTCTTTTTTCCTCAGTGTTGTGGTAATTACTTTTTATTACTTTTAGTAGTATGAACTTAGATATGATATATTATTCATACTTTATTTCAGAAAAATCAACCTATATCCATGTAATAAGATTGAACAAGTATATCTGAGATATGATGCCCTACAACTTCTTTTTAGTTAATAGAAGACATATATATGAATATAGTTTTCTTTTCCTTTAGGGAAATAAAATCAATTTCTCAAAACTATTTAAGTCCTCTTAGGAAAATAAATATTAACATTCGTTGTGAATGATAACCTGGGATTTTTTATAAAGTAGGTTTAGGATTACTAGGTTAATCACAGTTGTATGAGACATCACTAGAGTATGTTAGTATTATTTAATGTAAATTTTTGTCTACTTTTTCCTGGGTTGACCTGGAAAATAAATTACCACTCATTTTATAATAGGGAATTCCACTTTATTTTTAGAATTGTCATGAGCTGGCAATGTACAAAAGTCTATTAAAATTTACACCTTACTTTGAAGTAAGAAAATGCCTGAAATTCTAATACTAGAGCAGCAATCCCAGGAGTCCTTGATATCCTGTTAGGGTGCCCATGAGGTCAAAACTATTTGTGTGGTATCATCAAAAGACATTTTTTGTCTTTTTTCACTGTATTGACATTTGCACTGACAGTGGTGCAAAAGCATCTGTGGGTAAAAAATTGCTAGGGCTTCAGTATGTGTGAATCAGGCTGCTAGTAGCACCAAACTACAATAACTAGTAATTATTGTATTCTTTACCATCGTATACTTAAGGTTAAAAAAAAAATACCAGTTTTACTTAAGAATGTCCATGATGAAGCAGGAAAAACAATGTTTTTAAAACTCAACTTTTTAATACACATTTTAAAAATATACTATTTGATAAAATGGGAAGCACACAGAAAACACTTGCATTGCATCGTAACGTCTGATGGTTGTTTTTAAGAAAAGCAGTTGTGCAATCTTTTGAGTTGTGAGCTGACTGAGATACTTTTTTTCATGGAATAACTTTTTTTTTTTTAATTTGAAAGAACAGAGAGACGAACCGGCTTTTCATATTTGGCAGATATTTTCTCACGAATGAGGTTAATTTGTCATTTAAGGAAAACAACTCACAGTGTCTGTTGCTGGTGATAAAATTAGAGGTTTTAAGAGAAAATTAGAATTTTGGAAAACTTGTATCACCTTAAGCTTGACAGCTTCCCAGTACTTAGTCTTTAAAAAAGATTAGTGAAGATATTAACAAATGTGATATTTTGAAATAGTACAATGAAATGTGTCAGTGTTTGGAAGATATGCATAACTCCATGACCTAATTTTTTAAATGACCAATGCATGGATGACAAACATGTTGCATGCATGAAAGACTCAAAATGCAAAAGAGCAGTGGATTTTCATGTAACAGTTGGCAGAGCTCAGTGATATTGTTTCAGATTTCACATGGTAACTAGCCTTTAAAACACTACCACTAATCAAGTTTTGGTTTAGTATCAAAGACTATCCACTGTTATCTGAAAAGGCTGTTAAAATACTCCCTTGTTTTCCAACTATGTATATGTGTGAGGCTGAATTTTTTTCATCTACTTAACCAAAACAACAAATTATAAAGATTGAGTACAGAAGCAGATATGAGAATCCAGTTTTCTTCTATTAAGGCAGACATTACAGAGATTTGTGAAAATGTAGAAAAATGCCACTCTTCTCAGTAAGTTGGTTTTGAAATATAATTATTTTTCATTAAAAATATAATTATGTTAACAGATAATAGTTTTATATTTGTTAGGTTTAAATGAATTACTAAAATAAGTCTTTAAAAGTCTCATTTTAATTTTTAGTATGTTAAATATCAATATAAATAATTGAAAACAGAGCTCTTTTGTACATGATACTATATGTAGAAAATCCTAAACACATCATCAGAAAACTACTAGAGCTCATCAATGAAGTCAGTAAAGTTGAAGGATACGAAATTAACATACAGAAATTTGTTTGCATTTCTATACACTAACAATCAGAGAAATTATGGAAACAATCCCATTTACCATTGCATCAAAAAGAATAAAATACCTAGGAATAAACCTACTTAAGGTGGTAAAGAAAACCTGTACTTGGAAAACTATGAGACGCTGATGAAAGAAATTGAGGATTACACAAACAGATGGAAGATATACTGTGTTCTTGGATTGAAAGAATTATTATTTTTAAAATGACCATAGTACTCAAGGCAGTCTGCTGATTCAATTCAATCCCTGTCAAAATACCAGTGACATTTTTCGCAGAACTAGACCAAATAATTTAAAAATTTGGATGAAAACACAGAAGACCCTGAATAGCCAAAACAATCTTGAGAAAGAAGAACAGACCTGAAGGAATCACGCTCCCTGACTTCAGACTTTATTACAAAGCTACAGTCATCAAAACAGTATGGTACTGGCACAAAAACAGATACATAGACTAATGGAACAGAATAAAAAGCCCAGAAATAAACCCCCACACTTATGGTCAGTTAATCTACAGCAAAGGAGGCAAGACCATGCAATGGAGAAAATACAGTGTCTTCAATAAGTGGTGCTGGGAAAACTGGACAGCTACATGGAAAAGAATGAAATTAGAACATTCTCTAACACCATATAAAAAACTAGACTCAAAATGGATTAGAGACCTAAATGTAAGACCAGAAATTATAAATTTCCTAGAGGAAAACATAGGCAGAACGCTCTTTGACATAAATCACAGCATTAATTTTTTTGGATCCATCTCCTAATGTAAAGAAAATAAAAGTAAAATAAACAAATGGGACCTAATTAAACTTAAAAGCTTTTACACAGAAAAGGAAACCATCAGCAAAATTAAAACACACCCTACTAAATAGGAAAAAATATTTGCAAATTATATGACCAATAAGGGACTAATATCCGTAATATATAAACAGCTTATACAACTCAACATCAAAAAACAAACAACTTGATTAAAAAATAGGCAGAAGACCTGAACAGACATTTTTCCAAAGAGGACATGCAGGTGGCCAACAGACACATGAAAAGATGCTCAACATCACTAATCATTAGGGAAATGCAAATTAGAACCACAGTGAGATATTATCTCACAAGTGACAGAATGGCTGTCATCAAAAAGAACACAAATAACAAATGTTGGTGAGGATGTGGAGAAAAGGGCACCCTTATATACTTTTGGTGGGAATGTAAGTTGTTGCTACACTGTGGAAAACAGTATGGAGGTTTCTCAAAAAAATAAAACTAGAACTACCACTCTGGGTATATATACCAAAACACTAATTCGAAAAGATACTTGCACCCCAATGTTCATAGCAGCATTATTTGCAGTAGCTAAGATATGGAAGCAACCTAAGTGTCCATCAACAGATGAATGGATAAAGAAGATGTTGGGGGGAGGTGTCTGTGCATATATATACACACACACAATGGAATACTACTCAGCTATAAAATAAGAATGAAATTCTGTCATTTGCAACAATGTGGACTGACCTAAAGAGTACTGTGCTAAGTGAAATGAGTCAGAGAAAGACAAATACTGTATGATATCATTTATATATGAAATCTAAAAAATACAACAAACTATTAAATATAGCAAAAAAGAAACAGACTTACAGATATAGAGAACAAACTAGTGGTTATCAGTGGGGAGAGGGAAGTGGGGAGGGGAAGTAAAGGGGTAGGGGATTAAGAAGTACAAACTATTATGTATAAAATAAGCTACAAGGGTACATTGTACAACACAGAGAATATAGCCAATATTTTATAACTATAAATGGAGCATAACCTTTAAAAATTGTGAATCACTATATTGTACACCTATAATTTATATAACATTATACATCAGCTAAACTTGAATAAAAAATTTTAAAAAGACCTCTTTGGGGTCCTAAGTAATTTTTAATAGTGTAAAGAGATTTTTAACAATCTATGGTCTAGAGGAATCCATGTATAATTTAGGAGGAGAGCATTGCTTTAAAATCCAAAATGTACATGTTTTGGCTTAAAGCAGTACTTTGAAGCGTTTTTTAAATGGCATTGTTAAAACAGGTTTTATAGTCATCAGATTTTATTATTTTAAGTCATATCATTTTGAAACTTTTCTAAACCTTCATTTTCATTTTATGTATTTAAAATAAAACAGAGGAAGCCAAAAATGTAATAAAGTATTATTTGCAAAGCTATGTAATTTTTTGTAGACCTTTTTTTTTTCAGTTAACCATGGCTTGTTCCTGAACAAGCTAAATAAGGTACAAGAATGCTGAAAAGATGTTCTGTGACTATCTATGGAATATTCTTGGTATCTTACAGATACAGAATGAATATTTTATAGGAGTTAAATGGATAAAATTTTATTTAAAAACTATGTAATCGTATAGTCCATTGCCATTTTGGAATGTATGTGGAAATTAATTCACCATAACAGCCTTATGCCTGTTAGTGGTACTGTTTATCATGTAACATGATGGTTAGAGAGGTTTCTGATTGCTCTTTTTTCTCTAAGCAGATAATCTCAGTGATACCTTGAAGAAGCTGAAGATAACAGCTGTTGACAGAACTGATGATAGTTTAGAAGGATGCTTGGATTGTCTACTTCAAGCCTTGGCTCAAAATAGTAAGTTTTAAGGAACCTCCATACTGTGAGGATATGGGGAGGGGGAAGGGTAAGCTGTGACAAAGTGAGAGAGTGGCATGGACATGTATACACTACCAAACGTAAAATAGATAGCTAGTGGGAAGCAGCTGCATAGCACAGGGAGATCAGCTCAGTGCTTTGTGACCACCTAGAGGGGTGG